CAACCAAGACAGCTGCATCTTCTCCCAATCCCTGCCACACCCACAGCCTGCTCCTCTCCATTCTTCCTCGTTTCTATCGATATCACTCAGTTGCTAAAGACAAATACCTAAAATCACTTTGGTTCCTCTTCTTTCCCTCTCCACCCTTCTTCTGGCTAGACTCTTCACACACATATAGGCAATCTATCAACATGTCTTGGCCCAATTGCCAAAAACGTATCCCTGTTTCAGCGGCAGTGATTCATCCCTCCTTATCTTCTCCATATTGCCCTTCCTCTCAAAGTCACTGTGAGTGTTCACCCGGACCATTGCAAACATTTTCTCGCCCTTCACTCTCTTCTCACTCTTGTCCCCACCCTCCACTCCAGCCGATGGGCACACAGAAGTCAGAGTGACCAGAAGCATAACTGCCACCTCCAAAAGTCCTGCAGTGGCTCCAACACACCACTTAAAGTAACATCTGACTTGCTGCAGTGGTCCCTGGCCTGCCTGACTGAGTGCTTTTTCTGTCTTTCCAATCTTATCTCCATCACGCTGTCTGCTGCTTACTCTGCTCCAGGTGCACCAGAACGGTCTTTGTTCTCAAACCTCCCAGTCTCCTTTCAAGCCCTTTAGAGGATGAGCCTTCTGCCTGTAAACTCTTCTTCAGAGATGTGCTTACCTGGCTCCTCCTCCACATTCAGGCCTCCGCTCACTTACCAACTTCTCACAGATAAAATATCTGAAAACTCTATCCAAAATAGCTACCCTTGTCCATCTAACTCATTAGCCAGCTTTTTTTTTGTTTTGTCTCCACAGCACTTATAATTACCCCAAATAATTTTATGTATGAGTTTCTCTATTTACTGTTCCACCCTCCCACTAGAATGCAAGTCCCGTAAGAACAGGAAACGTCTGTGTATTTTCAGCAGTGCAACCTGAGTACCTGACTTGGTGTGCAACACACAATAAATACTAGTTTACTACCCAACTATACAGAATTAGCAAGACATTGTCCCGGACTGGATGTGTGATCTGAACAAAATGTCAGGAACAAGGAGGAGCGAAGGATGACTTGCTTCCCACTCTAAGCAAAAATTCTTCTTGTGACTTCAGAGCCCATTAACCTCAACTTGGACATCACTAGTGTTTTTTGTTAGGAAATTTTCTTACCAAGGCTTCTCAATTTATTGTTTTGCTAGAACAGATATATTTTTTAATGTTTTGATCCATATTCTCTAATTTTTCTTATTCCTCTTAAGTCTTTCTCCTATAAAACACGAAACAAGTTTACAGTGCTCTCTATTACACTATTCAAATATTTTAAACAGTATTATTTCCCATCACCAGTTTTTTCTTCCCTAATCTTACGTAGTTCAATTTTGTTTATTTATACTGTATCTTTCTACGTCTCTTTCTGATGATTTTTATTCTTTTAGAGTTACTGCAGTCTATTATTCACCCAAATTTAAAACCTTGCAGTTATTTTAACTTCTGTTCTCAGAACTGACATAAATTACTCTCCAAATTATCTTAATTATACCTCCATTGTGCTTCTTACATTTATCCTGTACAGTAGTGCTAGAGATTTAATATAAGTTCACTCCATTCTCATTGATGACTCAAGCTCCCTCAACTTCATATTTTCTTGCTAGGTTACTAGCCCATGTATTCTTTTTCACCAGTCTTTGTTAATGACTGAACAGACTGAGCCTGCTGTTATTAAATGCACACCACTGAGTTGCGAATACACAGAATGGTTTATGAGAAATCTTAATATTCTGGCATCATAGGTTTTTTTCCAGCTTCCTTGGTGAAGTCAGTCAAACCTTAATTTGAATCTGCAAAAGTGGTTTTGTGTTTGTGGAAGCAGGAATTGAGAAGAATAAAGATAAAATTTCCAAACCACTTCCCCTGATAAGATCCTAAAATGACATCCTTATTAAACACTTAATGACAAAAAAAGAAAGTTTTCAAGATTCATAATGTGTGGGTAACAAAAGGTGCAATACATCCTCCATTCCTTTTTTTGGAATCAGGCAACCAGCAGAGCTTGTTCAGCCTTGACATGCTGCACTTTTGGTCAAGTGTATAGACTAAAGGATAAACCCATAGAGGCAGGAGAATTTAGTGATATTTGATAAAAAAGTAGCTTTGTTGGTGCTTTTCTCTCTGAACAGCAGGATTACTGAAAATAACAGGCTCCAGTGTGTTTCTTTCTAAGAGGCACCAAAAATAGTTCTTTTGTCATCAGTCTTAATAGAGTTACACAGTCAGTTCCATAGAAATTAAAAGCAATGCTGGAGCTCATCTGGCTTCTCTTGGCAGGTAAGCAGCTGAGGACAAATGTGTGGTCTTTTTACTGCTGATCATATGTAACGCACAAGATGGGGTGAGGGAGGGATTCAGAATAATCAATTTCTCAGCAAAGAAAAAAGAAACAGCAGAGAAAAACGAAGAATTTGGAATAAAATAAAAGGAAACTGGACTCTTCCCACTCCTTCCCTTCTAAACATAATGAGTATCACATTCTTCCTTCCTGCTGTGGTCTGCTTCTCACTGGCCTACAAGTCAGAGACAGGAGTAAGAACAACTTAAACAAGTTTTTCCAGCCAAAGATCAATAGAATTAGTGAATTTTAAATGTTAATGCATTCCATTCCTGACAGTGGGAAAGGCATTCCAATTCTTCAATTTATATTTATCGCTGACACAGATGTACCAAAAGATGAAAAACCCTATCTAACATATAATTTGTCTTCTATTTAGACTTAAAAGTGGAAGTAAAATACAAAAAGCAAATTTCGTTTGTGATGAAGAAAATCAATTGCCACAATGGCTTAACGTACCCAGCATTTTTTGAGCAAAGGTGTGTCCAGATGATGTCAGCAGGAAGTAAGGCTGTGGAGTTTTTATTCTGACTAATTTTTTATTTTCCTACATTCCCATATATTTTAATATATTGTCTTTGAAAGTTTAATAATTAAGACTCAGGAAGGGGAACATCATACACCGGGGCTTATCATGGGGAGGGGGGAGGGGGGAGGGATTGCATTGGGAGTTATACCTGAGGTAAATGACGAGTTGATGGGTGCTGAGGAGTTGATGGGTGCAGCACACCAACATGGCACAAGTATACATATGTAACAAACCTGCATGTTATGCACATGTACCCTAGAACTTAAAGTATAATAATAAAAAAAAAATAAAAATAAAAAATAATAATAAAAAAAAAGAAACAAGGAAATGGCCGGGCACAGTGGTTCACACCTATAATCCCAGCACTTTGGGAGGCCGAGGCAGGCGGATCACCTGAAGTTAGGAGTTCGACACACCCCTGGCCAACATGGCGAAACTCTGTCTTTACTAAGAATCAAAAATTAGCTGGACATGGTGGCATGTGCCTGTAATCCCAGCTACTCAGGAGGCTGAGGCAGGAGAATTGCTTGAACCAGGGAGGCAGAGGTTGCAGTGAGCCGAGATCACGTCACCGTGTCACTGCACTCCGGCCTGGGTGACAGAGCAAGGCTCAGTCTCAAAAAGAAAAAAAACAAAATCAAGGCATGAGAAACCAAGGACTTGTACAGGTGTTTGTTAGTCTTACAGGAAAGCCTCAGGATGAAGGCAACATCTGCACCATCCATATGTCCCCCATCCCCAACTCTCCTTTGCTTTAGAAAGAGAGAGACACAGATTTTTCTATTGTTTTACCCAGGAAGGTACCACGTGGCCTCTACTCCATTACCAGGACTAAACACACAGCATTCATATTATGATTAAATGCAATGCTAATATTACACTTGGTTATTCCAGACGGCTTGGGCCTCTTCACACGAGAATGGCCAGTCCCACAGAGCAAGCCTCCCAAGAGAAAAGAGCGAGACAGAGAGTGAGCGAGAGAGAAAGGCCAAAGATGCCTTTTAGGAAGTAGGTTTAGAAGTTGGGCAGCATCACTTCAACCTCATTCTTTTCATCCCAAAGGCCAGCCCACATTCAGGGCACAGGGAGTTAGACTCTGCCTCCCACTGGAAAGACAGTCAAGGAATTTGCAGGCATGTTTTAAAGCCACCACTGCAGAGATAAAGAGTTGACTGAAAATGAGGAGAACATTGGAAAATGGTACAGAATCTAACACACAAACATTACTACATGGACACTTCAGTGTATTTCTGATCACCAAAGGTGGATTCCTGAAGTTTCTTGAGTGGTGGAGTCATAACCATTTAAGACTTGGTAGGGTGACGATTTTCCATTCATTTGTAAATTCTACAACTCTGCTATATCTTACTCAAAAGAACTGACCCAGGCAGCTGTTTAGAAAGTGCAGCCAGGAGCTGCAGATGGTGGCCATGCCTCTCGGCAGGAGTGAGCACAGCAGGCATCTAAACCCTGAGAAGGACACAAATAGAGATTCCCTTGGTCAGCCAGAAATCAGGCCCATGGAGAATCTGGAACCACTCATGTATCATTTTAAATATGTAAAGAACTTTCCAAATTTGGATCCGTTATAACAAATCTGATGGAGGTACTGCGTAGTTTTCAAATATGGAAATCCAAAACTACAAACACCAATGGCTACTGTGAAATATTCTGCCAAACTTCAAGAAGACAAACTGAATTTTTATTAAGAAGAAAGTATCTTAATTGCTCATCTGTCTTTAACCACTGACCACCTCTCTTTGCCTCTCCGTTGGTATCTTTGACTTGGGGAAATTTCATCCCATTCCATGTTAATTTAAATTCTCTGATAGCACTCCTGGCAACTTAATCCATGTAAATATAAATACAATATCTTCTACTGACTTTTGCCAGCAATTTATGTTATTTTTGAATGAATAAATTGGAATTCAATGTCGGAATTTTATCAAAATGACCACAATTTTGCTTATGACAACTAAAAATCATTTTGAAACATCTGACATCCATAAAACCCTATATAGAAGTAAAATTAAAATAACACTGGAAGTGAAAAACAGATGTTAAAAATAATTATTGGAGGTCTATAGAGAGGGGAGTCTCTAATATAAAAATTATTATTGACCAATCTTGCAAGATGTGTTTAGTAGGTATTTTGGATAACTCATCTTAGATTTTTTTTATTCAAACTTCAATAAATGCAACCAACTGCCCAATGCTGGCAAACATAATGAAAGTATAAAAATGGAACAGAAGGAAAGTGTTTAAAAATGTACTGTATATCATTCAAAAATGATGACATGAACATTGGTACCCATTAAACACTTTCAAACTATAGTTCAGATCCTGGTACAAGGCTAATTTTTCCCAGACCTCTTAATGAAACATACACAACAAGAGGAAGTCTCTCGCTCAGAGTGCAAATACAGATGTATTCTCGTGCCATGGTTTCTAAGGACTGGAGATTTCCCTCTAGCCTGCTCTTTATTTATTTTGGAAACATTAACAGAAACACAAGTGGATACGTAAGAAAGGCGGTTCCAATTAATAGTACTCATGGTTTACAGGGTAACCTCTTTGTAGTGTTTACTGAACTGTCTACAACTTTAGCACATAAGAAAACCGACAAAATCAAATCAATTTCATGCCACTGTGTACGTACATTCTCTTATTCAAGAAGTATGTGCTGAGTGCCACTCAGTGCCAAACCCAGGTCCAGCCTTCAAGGAGCTCACAGTCTAGTAACAGAGACAAGAAAATTGGAGATTTAATAGTATATGATGATAGTTGTGATAAAGTGCTCATAACCTCAGTGAGTCAAAACAGATTTCACAGGGAACTTAATGTCTAACATTAAGTGGAGAGGATCACTCCAGACAGGTACAGCCTGCTCAGAAAACTGCCAGGAGCTCCAGTGGGGTGAGCACGGAGCTCAGGGGGTCAGGGCCAGGAGGTGGCCGGAAGCATCTCACATTTTGTGGTATAAGGACTGAGCATCATCCGTGCAGAGAGGGGTGTGGAGTCAGAGTCCTGTTTCCTGTTTACATCATCAATGTCCTTTGCTCCATCTCGTGGAATGACACAACTTTTAACAACTGAAAACTGCACTGCTTTGCCACATGTATGTTTATTTGCACAACGACTATGAGAGCAAGCTGGATCTACCATGCAATGGATGTGCTGTATCTCCTCTATGTGGGAAATGCAGGGTTCTGAAATGAAAACGTTGGGCCAGATACTCAGGCTTGCTTTCTTTGCCATCTGCTTATGAAAGTACACGTTACTGAATGCACAACACAAAAGTTTCCATCTTCTTCCTCTTCTGGAAGTTTTATGTGAAATTTTCCCTTTTTTCTTTTTTTTTCCCTTCACTTCCAAAATCACAGGCTGACCGACAGGATTAGCAGGTTCCAGGTTCCAACTCAAGCCATCTTTTGATTGCGACTGCAGTGATTGAGTCTAAGAGGAAAACACAAATGAATTCTCAGCCCTGGGATTGAGTGACATTTAATAAAAAGTACTATTTGTTTAACCTGATTGTTATGGTTTTTGAATCATAAAACGCTGAGCATTATGATGGCTGCCAGGTTATATTATCTACTACTTGATTTTAAGTGATATCTGTGGGATTTATACGTAAATTGTAAATTGATGTTTTCTTTTGCTTACCTATACAATAGAAAATAAAGGGTTTCAGAATTTTTATATCACTGGATATCCTGGCAATGAAATATTAAATGGCGTTAGGAGAAATGTGTTTTCTACAGGGGAAAGTACAATACATTATAAACCTCTCCATCACTCTAATCAGGCTTCTGACATGAAAATAATAGGGCTGCACAGGACCACGTCATTCCCATCCCAAGTGTGGGGCTCTAGGTAAAGACATAACACAGAGGGTTAGTCAGCGGAGAGCGGAGAGGTGCCTTTTGGAGAGATGTTTGTTTGAATATTTGTATTTGCTTTGCAAAGCTAAGCAGCACCCTTTGGTTAATCATGAGGGCGTTTTGGCATCTGCCACCTGAAGTGTGTGACTCACCCAGATTCTGACTCAATAGATGGAAAAAAGACTAACCTGCTCACAAAATATTCATTTCATGGGTGAGGAGTTCTGCGAATTACCATTTTACTCTACTTTCTAATGCTCTGAACATATTGCACAAAGAGCTCCATTTTGGCTTACATTTTCACTTTCTCTTAGTTTTCTCTTATTTTCCAGGACATGTGACTCTACCTCCTTAAAAGTGAAGTGACTGTGAAAATTGATTGTACCGTCTTACGTGACTAATTTCGACCATCCCTTATGGCTGAGAGTCTCATGCAATGCTTTGGATGTTCCATCAACAACACTCTAAGTCCATGAGGTTTCACAGGCCGTGCTGTTGGGGACTCACCACAGCTCCAGGTTATCCCGCCGTCAACACTGCCAGGCACCCACCTTGCCACTGGGGTTCAAACTCAATTCATTGAGAAAACTATCTGACCCCAAGAGTGAAAGTTTAGGTCGATACTGAAACAGTCAGTCACGTACTTGTTGGTGTAATGTGCAGAAATGGTAACTCAAGAGAGAAATCAACCACAGTAGCTCTCCATTCATGGTGAGACGTGGGGTATACGGTGTAGAAAATCAAGGTGTTTGAGATGAGTGAGGCTTTGGGCTGACGGATGCTCAGTCAGCTAAGCATCTGGACTGTCTGGGTTGCCCTTCATCTCCACACCCCCTCGCACTGTGCGTTTTAGCTGTCTCTGAACTTTCATATGCTGACTTTCCTCCAGCACATTGTCAACCTTTCCTACTTGCTACACTCAGGGTCTATTCTCCTAACTTCCTCCACTTTTCCTTCTGTTTCTACACGGATGTAGCTTAGGAAACAAAATAAACAACTGGACTTGAGAGGCTGATGTTCTCCTGAAATAAGGCGGGAAGCTTGGAGCCGGGTGTTTGTGGTGTAACAGAGGCTGGCTACCACCCAGATGAATGAGCTTCATGGAGAAATTAAAGTACTGCTCTCAGTAGCTTTTATTTACTAATTCCTGTTATGAACTATGTATAAATGTGGACCTAAAATACGAGCTAAAGGGCTCCTCACTAATAGAGTCAATAGGGAAAATGAAAGGGAAAATCCCAGCCAGCTAGTAGAGAAATAAGCTGTAGCACCTTGCTTAATGCATGTATATAGGTTTTCAAACAGGTTTAATCGATTTCAATTTCGAAACTTGAAAAGTGTTAGGGCAGCATCTCATGTAATATTATTTTACAGGTGATTGGACTGACAAGATGTATAATTTTTCTATGATTTGTTTATACTATTTATTATAATGTAATTGTTATTGTATTTTATATTACTATTTAATATAATGATAACATTTGTTTACAAAGTCTACAACTTTTAAGAATGAGACACAACCTATCTCTTAATGGCACCAAATAATCATTTCCACGTAGTCAATGTTATTTGAACAAATGAATAAATAAACTCTGGAAAAGAATCACAAAAACCGTCTCCACCATCCCATTAGCACCGGGAAGCTCCATGAAGCTGCCGGGGGCACTAGCAGGCAGACACAATGCCATCATAAAAGATTCCCTGTTTTTCCAAGGGATAGGTTTTACAACCAATAATTAAAAGATTAGGACATTCCATCTCTTGTCACCGTGAGGTGGAACCCTGCTGTTCTAGGTTTTCAGTAACACTGAGTCATCAACAAAAGTCAAGATTCAGAATCTTCTCTATGAATCTTGATGTATTAAAGCATTTACTTGTAAACTAATGGCACATACTTATATTAAATTTAAATAAAATATTAGGGCAGTTAATCGGGTCTTTTTTTCCAGTCTACTCACCTGAGGCGTGGGGCAGCTTGAGAGGTTTCTGGAGATGAGGTTAGGTTAGGGACAGATTCTCAGAAATGATCTATGCAAAAGCCTTTGGAATTATAGTGTCATTTTTTTCAATCCTATCAAATTTTGCTACTGAATATATTAAAGTATGGAAAGTTGAGAGATATCAAATGTCACTAAATAAAAATGAGATCAGATTTATAATTTGGAAGATTGTGTCATCATTTGGTGGCTGAATTTTTTTTTTGTTGTTGTAATTTCTGCCCTCTCCAATCTAGACTACTTAACCTTCTTTTGCCCATTATAAGTTATCATAGCCCATAAATTTGACAACTTCATTAAAATCCTAAATGAGGGCACTAATATTTGCCCTGTTTCTTCTGGCTCATACTTTTTGTTCTAGAAATCATCTCTCTTTACCTGTGAATACCCAGTTTACTCTCCACTATTCCCTAAGGTTAGCTTTCACTCAAATACACATTTACAATTATAAAGTTACTTTATTTCCATTTAGATTGCTCCTGGTCTCCACAGAGATAGCAAAGACTTCAAATGCAACAGGCTGTTTAGCAGAAATGGCTATTTTCTTTTATATAAATTTAGTTCACTTAGTTTAGTTATTTTGTCTTTAAAAATATACTGCTTTGAAAAAACTCAAACAGAACTATGCTTAATTCAATTATTTCCATTGGCACGTAAAATTTAATGTACAGATATAGCACCAGGTCCTTTTAGTGCCTTTATTTAAATTATTAGAAAAAGAGACTAAGACTTTTTTAATAAACAATTTCAGAAATACAAAAATCTAGGGCACAATACATAACACTTTATGACCACACAACTATATATATATATATTCACCTATCCTGCTAATGGGCATTCTGTTTATTTCCATTGTTTATTATTATTTAAAAATTACTACATCTCTTTACTGACCATTACAAATTCTTCTTCTGTCAATTGCTTATTCTTATCCCTCATTTTTTTTTTCTTTTTTGGTATTTTCTTTTGATTTATTAGACAATTTTAAATAGTTTGATTACTACTTCTTTCTATGTTATATGCACTGTCAATCTGTTCTTCCCTTCAATGGCTGGTTTGTTGCTTTTACCACAGAACATTTGGTCAAGTGTTTCAGAGGTTAAACTCTATTTATATATTTATTGCCCTTATGACTTGTGCTTTTTCTTTATGGTCTGATTTCGATAACTCTTTTCTCCCTCACAGACCTAAAGAGCTTTTTCTATATTTTCTTCTATAATGATGAAGTTTTATCTTTTACATTTAATTAGGTAAAATTTATTTTTTATTTGTTGTGAGCTATAGATCTACCTTTTCCACATGGATATCCAATTTCCCAGGAATATTGAAAGAGAAGCAAGTCTTTTTTTTCTCTCTCTCTCTCTTTTAATATACAAAAAGATCTAACAAGATCCCTAGGACAAATCTGATGTTAACTGAATTAAGTGGATTAGTATTAAATCAACTGGCGCAATAATTACAGGAAGGCATTATAAGTCACTAGGGAGCCCAAGGAGGGTGAAACCTCATGCCTCTTTGGGGAGTAGTACAGGGACTGACTATACTCCTTGCTCCCAAGGGACAGAACATTCTCTAGGTTTTTCATTCCTGACTCAGTAGCACTCAAAGCTTTTCTTAAGGTAAATTAAAATTATGGAGAAAGACATCACTCTGTAGCCACTGTTTTCCAAGAGTAGCATTCCAGGCAGCACCTAGGGAGCCAGCAAAGATTCTGTCCTGTCTACCATTTTCCCATGAATGACATCATAATAGAACCTCCCTGTCTTCTTGCCTTTTTCTGTTGTGGTAACAAAAGATCACAAACTGGGTAATTTGTATAAAAAATGTTTCTTTAGTTCATAGTTCTAGAGGCTGGAAGTCACAGTGCCGGCATCTGTGAGGGCCTTTTTGCTGCCTCACTCATGGCAGAGGGCATCACATGGTGAGAGCCGGAGCAAGGGAGCCAGGGAGAGCTCACATGCATAACAATAATGCTCCTGTGATAATAAACCCACTCCTGTGATAGCAACAACATTCCCATCATGAGAACAGAGCCCTCATTCATCCCTTCGTCTCATCATAGGGGCAGAAGGATTAAGTTTTAACACATGAACTTTTGGGGGACTCATTCAGTACATAGCACTCCCAAAATATTCACTAAGAGCGAGAGTAAACTGATTTAATTTCAGACTGTTCTTGGCAGTCCAAAACTAGAGCTTTCCAAGTTTTACAATAGAGAATTAAAATGATAGAAAAATATTCTTAAAAAAAAAAAAAAAAAAAACTGCAGAAGAAAGCTAGAAAATCTGAAGATGAAGTTTTTTTAAGGCATAAAATACATGCAGTTAATAGACAATGGAGACATGCTAAGACTTGAAAATGTGCTTCGACATTCTCAAATTGTCTAAGGATTTTGCAACAAAATAACTTACCAGGGTCAGGGCATGATAGAATATGAGTTCGTAATGAATTTAGACCTGGGTTTCTGTGACCCAAGTTATGCTGAAGAAAATGAGAGACATCCCCTTTTTAAAAACTGTGCATAGCCTGAGGCCACTGCAATTACTTAATCCCTTTGGAAAATTGCTTAAGCCTGGCATGTTTTGTAATGAATTTTATCTCTTCACTACCAAAAGTCATAAAACGTAACTTAAGCGAGGAAAGAAACACAATTGATATTTGGATATTTCAAAGGGATCAGCATTTTTAAAAAGTGGCTAAGTATTAGTATGCTATACCTGACATATGACATGAAAATGACATATACAACATAATTTTGTTTATGCCGTTGTATATATCTTACACATTTTATATTATAACACATTTTGAATATATGTTTATTTATACACACAAATATATAGGAAAATAAAACTAAATATTATCAGAATGTTTATTTCTTGATGGGAATTTGAGTGGTGCATTTTTTACTTTATTTCTATTGTTATACATTTGGTATTTTCCCCACGTTGTTCAGTGATTTTGTATTACTTTTGCAATGATAGACATAATGTTTGGAGGCAGAAAAAATAAGGGAACAGGCAAGAAGCATTCATTTGAAAATTCTAAATGCAGTAGGCACCTGAAGTCAAAGGGTTCCCCGTCACTGAAAAACCAAAGCTACCCATATCAAAGAAGCGTGGGCGCTTCTGCCCCCTACTGTCCATCTTCAGTAACTGTCCAGTGAGTCTCCGCCTTTTGTTAGCAAGTCTTACAATCTCCTGGGACACTTGCTGTTTGCAAAATTAGGAAACCTTGAGCTACATCCTCAGGTAATCTGAGGCTGGATACCCTCAGACTGTACTCTAAGAAACATCATCAAAATTAAGTTACATGACCTGATCACAGCTACAGTAATAAAATCAGAAAAAATATGGACATCATGTTTAGAAACACAAATAGAAAAGCAACGCGATTTCTTTCAGTTTTAAAAAAGTATATTAGTATATAACATAATCTAGTATGTATTAAAATAATATATATTTAAGAATATATAAATATATGCTTAGTACACATTGTCACTATTAATAATATCAATACATTACCTTTTATACATACATATGTATGTGTGTTTGTGTATTTATGCATGTGTAGTTTTATATTTGCCTATGTAGTTGTATACATGTATAGTGCATAGTATAGTGTGGATGTGTGCATATGTGGTATGCATATATAGTATATATAGTACACACACACAGAGTCCTGCCTGGACACACACACAGCCATTCATCATTTAACAATGGGGATACATTCTGAGAAATGCATCCGTAGGTGATTTTGTTGTTATGCAAATATCATAGTGTGAACTTTCACAAAACTAGACGGAAGAGCCAGCTACACACCTGCTGCTTCTAGACAAGAAATTTGTACAGCATGTTCTTGTTCTGAATGCTGTAGGCAATCGTAACACCATGGTATTTGCATATCTAAACGTAGAAAAGATACAGTAAAAATACAGTATAAAAGACAAACACGACGCACCTGTGTAGGACATTCACCACGAATGCAGCTTTCAGGACTGGAAGTTGCTCTGGGTGGGTCAGTGAGTGACTGGTGAGTGGATGTGAAAGACTTCGATGTCACTGTAAACACTGCTGTAGACCTTCCAGACACCGTACACTTACGCTACACAACATGTACACAGAAAATTTCTCTCCTCAATAATGAATGAAACTTAGCCCACTATAACTTTTTGTTACAGTATAAACTTTTCACTTTGTTTGAACTTTTTGACTCTTGTCATTACACTCCACTGAAAACACAAATCCACTGTACAGCTGAACAAAAATATTGTCTCTTTTTGGCCGGGCATGGTGGCTAACGCCTGTAATCCCAACACTTTGGGAGGTCAAGGTGGGTGGATCACGAGGTCAGGGGTTCGAGACCAGCCTGACCAACATGGTGAAGCCCCATCTCTACTAAAATACAAAAATTAGCTTGGCGTGGTGGTGGGCGCCTGTAATCCCAGCTACTCAGGAGGCTGAGGCAGGAGAATTGCTTGAACCCGGGAGGCGGAGGTTGCAGTGAGCCAAGATCATGCCACTGTACTCCAGTCTGTGCAAAAGAGTGAGACCCCATCTTAAAAAAAAAAAAACAATAATAATAATAATAATATTGTCTCTTTTTATATCTCTATCCTATACGTGCTCTTGTATTTTTTAATTTTTTAATGTTTAAACTTTTTTGTTAAAAACTAAAACACAAACCACTATAACCTACACCGACACAGGGTCAGGATCATTATCACTGTCTTCCACCTCCATTTCTTGTCAAATTGGAAGATCTTTAGGGGCAATGACACACATTAAGCTGGCATCTCCTATGATGACAATACCTTTTTCTGGATAGCTCCTGAAGGAAGTGCCTGAAGCTGTTTCCCAACCAACTTTTTAATAATATATTGACATAAAGAGTACAATCAAAAATAACAATAAAAAGTACAGCATAATAAATAAACTAGTAACCTAATCATTTATTATCATTGTCAAGTATTATGTGCTATACCTAACTGTATGTGCTATATTCTTGTATGACTGACAGTGCGATAAGTCTGTGTACACAAGCATCACCACGAACACAGGAGTAATGCATTTTGCTACAGTCTTACAATGGCGACTGCCTGACTAGTTGGCAGGAGTTTGCCAGCTCCATGATAATCTTGAGGGATCACCATGGTATATGCGTTCCTTTGTTAAGCAAAATGTTATGCTGTACACAACTGTATGTACTTTCACAAATAATACTGCATTTGTCTTTTTAGAAATTATTAAGACCCTAACCTGTGATTAACATCTGTATTTTAACTCTAAAGCTGATAAAAGCTTTTCCTCATTTTGAAGTTATTTGAAGTTCCAGGTTTTTTTAAAAGGTGACATTATCTAAGTTCTTAAAAATGATTATTTACTAAATTCAGCATTTCTTCTGAGCTACGTTTAATATTGTAAAATCTTCTGCTCTACAGTCTCACAGCAATTTATTTAAAGTCAGTTAAAGACATTGAAGCCAAATTCCTTTTTAAAATATGCTCTCAGTTGCAATTGGACACAGTTACATGTGCCTCTTTGAAGGAAAACATGGGCACAGTGATAAATACAGTGTTGACTTACCCATAACCAAATAGAAATAGCTGCATCAACAGTCCGAGCCCAGGAACCAATAGGGCTGAAAAGAAAACAAGAAAATAATCATCAGTTTGGCAGCAAATCCACTGTCACTATATTCCCTGGCAGTGGCCTTTGGCCTGCAAAGTGCTTGTCAATAACGGCTTCTTTGTTTTCTGAGACGTCATCTGTAAATACTGAAATATTGAAACCTAGACTAGGATTTTGATACCATATTCTTACACCTGTTTTGAAAAGCTGAGATAATTGCTTTAAAAATGAGTTCACCAATCTGTTATTTGATTTAGAAATACATTGGATGAGGTCTTATAAGTCAAGCAGAAACTTGTTTTTTGTTTTTTTGTTTTTTGTTTGTTTGTTTGTTTCCTGAGACGGAGTCTCGCTCCGTCAACAGGCTGGAGTGCAGCGGGCAATCTTAGCTCACTGCACCCTTCGCCTCCTGTGTTCAAGCAATTCTCCTGCCTCAGGCTCCCAAGTAGCTGGGACTACAGGTGTGCACCACCATGCCCAGCTAGTTTTTGTATTTTTAGTAGAGACAAGGTTTCACCATGTTGGCCAGGATGGTCTTGACCTTCTGACTTCGTGATCCACCTACCTCGGCCTCCCAAAGTGCTGGGATTATAGACGTGAACCATCATGCCAGGCCAAAACTGGCCATTTTTAAACATACACATTTGTCCTTTATGTGATGTTCTCCTGGTGCTGAATCTGTCTGCCATTCCCAGACTATGGAGCTACAGCATGAAGTTCCTGAAGTCATTTCTAGGATGGACTTGGTATCCTATATTCTTCACAATTGATGCTCTAACCACAGCATGAGATGCTGTGAAGAACAGATGAGATAAATAATGTGACAAGGCTATGAAATGAGTGAAGCCCCATCTAAACAACTGATACCAAAAGCTTCTCACTGCTTCTGAATTGGAAGAATTAAGAGAGAGGTGGATGTCAGCTTTCTTTCCTCCCCTAGTCAATTCACTTTTGCTCAAACCCCTGGTGAAATGTGACTCTCGTGTGTGTATTAACTGCAAAAGTGTCACAAACACTGCCTTCCACTATTCCTCTGTGGAGCAAACTTAACAGTAAAATTTTTATCTAAAAATTGGTCGTGTCTTTTTTGTGCAGCCTTTTGGATTTGCTCACAGTTTCCCTACATTTCAGTCTTGTCAGTTGAGAATAACACATTTCAAGGGACACTCTTGGAAAACACCTTTGATGGAGAGGTTGATTTTTGTAACCTGTATACCATAGTCAGGTACTCTTGGCTCTTGGTATAAATTAAACATATAACAGAAAATTCTATTCTATTACTAGAACTCTCTGGAGCTCCCACATCAGGGTCTCTGACAGAAACTGCATCACTAGGGGACCTAACCACTGTTAGAACTTGGTGCCACGGGGGTGACGAAGGCGTAAATACCACGCCCTGTGCTAATATCTCCCTCCTCCCACCTACCACATGGGAGCCCAGGCAGTACAGTCTATAGAAATCAGCTTCCCTGATTGAAAAATTACATAGGAAAAGGTGAAGAATTAATGCAGGTAAACAAAAGGCAGTAATAAGAAACCCAGCACACCCATCATGTCTATTATACAGCTGTTTATAGGCTTCCATAAATCATCCAAGACGGTGTGCCTGACACCTTGTAGATTTCCTGAAAGACTTCCGTTCTCTGCACCCCTCTGTCTGCCTCTCTCCCTCTCTCTGAGTCTCATCCTCCTCTTCATTCCTTTCTCTTCCGCCCCTTCCCTCTCCATGCTATCTCTTGCTCTTCTCCCTTCCTTCTCATCTCTGTCTCTTCCCCATCTGCTGTCCCTCCTTCCCTCTAGCTCCCTCCAATTGCATCACTGGACTGGACCCATCAATAGACACCAAGGGGGCAGGCGCGGTGGCTCACGCCAGTAACCTCAGCACTTTGCAAGGCTGAGGCAGGCAGATCACCTGAGGTCAGGAGTCAGAGACCACCCTGGCCAACATGGTGAAACATTTTCTCTACTAAAAATACAAAAATTAGCCAGGTGTGGTGGTGCACACCTGTAATCCCAGCTACTTGGGAGGCTGAGCAGAGATCACACCTCTGCATTCCAGCCCGGGAGACAGAGTGAGACTCCGTCTCAAAAAATATATAGACAGCAAGAGTCCACTGTGGGTCAGGCTCTGTGTCTGCTGCCAGGGGGTCTCAGGGTCAAATGTTAGTATTCAGTGGCAGGGAGAATAAGTGACTTGATGAACAAAAGTCATATTATGGCAACTAAACTACTTTACATGCTGGAAAACAGCCAGATTTTGCTCGTATTACTCTTAAGAGATCCAAGTGTTTTTGTGAACAACATAGCCAAGAATACAGTGATGCAACATTTCCTTTTTAGCTAATTTACCAAAGATGTATACCAGATAGGAATATGTATATAAGGTCACTTTATAATCTATATTTGGCAATGACTATGCAAGTAATTGTAGTTTTGATATGTATTGATCACCCTAGCCATGACCTCTCCTACTCTGTGGCCATGCGTGGATGTGTGAACTCTGTAAAGAAGGAGTGAACTAAAAGCATCAGGGCTGGCTGCTGGACTGGCTTCCTCCACTCCTTTTGTGTTTCCTTTGCTTTCTTGCAGAAGAGCCATCCTCTGGCAGGTATGTGAAAGAACTGCCCATGAGGAGTCAGAGGCTACCTTGCACACCTCGCAGCTCTGCTCGCCGGAGATGGCTTTGCAGGCACACCAGCCCCTCTTCCAAGCCACCTGCCAGGAGTCCCATGAGGAACACGGCACAGCATCTGCATCAGAACCCCATGGGATTGCCTGTCACATGTTTTCCTCCTGATCTGTGGCTCACAGACTCGGCATGACCCAACCTCCTAGATTTCCCCCTCAGTGCTATTTGCAGTGCCCCCAAGCACTTTCCTCCACTCCAGTCCCCGAGTGCATGCCAACGGCCCTATTTTCAGCTACCCCTCTCCATGCCTCTTGTCTGTCTCTAGCTGACAAGCAGATTATCTCTTGTGTCCACTTTGTTTGCCAATGTACTTTGGCACCATTGAATTCCAACGCATGAAGTAAACTGAACTGTGTGCAACGCTGAGCACACACGTGCTTTGAACGGCCCTTGTCAGGATCCAAAATGTTCCCAAGTCTTGTTGATATTTGGGTCACTGCAGAGCTCTGAGTCCCCCTTCCTTTTTATCTTCCTCCCTTCAACTCATTCTCAATTTCTGTCTCTGAAATCAAGTGTGAACACATTTATGTATTCAAATAGAGGCATACTGTTCATGCTTATATTTTTCTGTAACCACCATATCTAATAAATACTTACCATCCAGGAAAAAATGTTGTTGTGCAATAATAATATGCTAAATGATGGCAAGTCTGTTATCATATTTTTGTAACAATATTTCTTTTACTTGTCACACACACACTTGATGGAAAACTTCAAAAAGTTAGTTTGAAGCAGTCTTTTCAGAAAACAAAACTGAATAAAATCATTCAGCATCGTTCAAAACAGCAGTCCCCCATATTCATAGTAGCAGGAACCTATTTTTTTCCACGGATGTGGTAGGTGGGGAGTAGTTTGTGGGTGAAACTGTTTTATCAGGCATTAGATCCTCATAAAGAGCACCGTTAGATCACTTGCATGCGCGGTTCGCAGTAGGGTTTGCGCTGCTGTGGGAATCTAATGCCGCAGCTGATCTGACAGGAGGCGGAGCTCAGGCCCTTGTGTCCACTTGCCCACCACTCACCTCCTGCTGTGAGTCCCTAAAAGGCCACGGACCAGTACTAGTCTGCATCCTGGGGGTTGGGGAATCCTGATTTAAAACGTCCTTTTTTAAAGATTGGCACAAGTATGCCTGTTTTTGCTATAATTATATTAACTGCCTATCTGTACACTATCCCGACCAGCCTGGCTTTTATTTCTGCTTCTTCACTTTGGTGTCTTCTGTCTCTGTTTCCCAGATTTCTATGTTCCCTGTAAACATGAGTCTCATATTGTCCTAGGGAAGCTACACATAAATCACCAAAGATCCTAATGTTCAGGAGAAAGGGCAAATTCTTTGTTCCATTTTGTTGGCTCTCGTTTTTTCTTTTCTAGTCCAAGTCAAAATAACTCAAGAGTAGTTGGGCAAAGTAGCCATAATGAGTAAACATTTAACAGGGCGTTTCACCCAGCAACTGTCTGCAGATAGCAGTTGCATGAATCATGCAGAACACGTGGATGTCTGTTAGTCTCCAGGGATTACCAGGCTCTGACTCAAGGGTGGAGTTTGGTTACAGAGGCACTTCACATGCCTCAGCACCCTGGGTAATGTCAGTGGATCCTATTACAGGCAGAGGAGCAGTATTCAGACCAACACTGTGTTCATTCAGTTCGAGTCCAAAATTCTGGTGGCACAGCCAAGTAAATCTAGGTGGCACAGAAAAAGCTACTTATAATAGAAGCTGCTGGAAGTCCTGCTTAGCTATGGCTCCAGGCTTAAACAGATTCCCCTGTCAATATCCTATTTGTCACTCCAGGATGGTGTGTCAGAGCAATGGGATAGGTTTCACCCTGCCCCTGCCTCCAGTTTCCTTGATGTTTAAATGCCTCTGTTCAGGAATCTGTTTGAGAAACAGATCTATTTTTATTCATAATTACTTCTCCATCTGTCTCGGTATTTTCTATAAACAGAGATTAACGTCCTGCGTGTTAACCTATTTTAATCTGTGAACTCTTCAGAGCCAAAATGTCTTTTTAAAGAGTAACAAGATGATATGAACATTCTGTTTCACAAGGCAGAGCTGAGAGTTGCTGCAGGTTCTTCAAACCATTCAAAGAAGAATGGCTTTAAAAATAAAGTGTAAGGAGCATTTCATTCACTGCCGTGAAACTACGTATCGGCTTGATTTTTTTAAGCCAGCAGGAAAAAGCATTCTCATGAAATGTTTAACATGGATATTTTTCTTTGTGTGGGTTCTCCCTTTGATGTATTTTGGAAGTAATTTAAGAATGAGGGTTTAGAACTGGTAGGGCCTCCATAATGTATTACACAATCTTGAATAAAA